GCAGAATTTTTCTTAAATGCAGCAAACCAAAGAAATTGGTTCTAATCGCAGCAGAATATCACAGAATCCCAAATAATGGGGTGTTTTTCACAGAATTGATATTTTGATATATATTTTTCTATTACCAGCTAAATAATCCTTTTTTGAATCGAATAAAAATATATAGTATCCTGCTCAATTACTGGATTTTTACGTAAGTACATATGTACTTTAATTGAAATTGGGTGGCAAAGCCAACCATATGTGTACCGTATAGGTAAAAATCCCCAAGGTACCGGAATAAAATATGCATGTAAATATAATAATACAAAAAAAAAAGATCCAAGGTATTGGTGTAAACATGTTTCGTGAATGATAGTGATAGTTTATCATTATACTTTTGTAAAAAATTTTTTAATAAATTATACCTTGTTACCACATTTTGTTATCATCTTTTCAGCCTTTTTTTTTTCTTTTATAATGACAAAAACAAAAGTTTCTATTGCTACTCGTATGAGTAAGCATCCTGATGTTTTTAGAGAAGATAAAGGGGTCATGTTTTGTAATTATTGTGATTTGTCTGTTGAATGGAAAGCTAAATCTACTGTCGATGGACATTGTAGTTCAAAGGGGCATTTAAAAAACAAACAAATGTATGAAAATAAAGAAAAATCTAAAAAGCAAGTTACACTTGCTACTACTATCACATCCGAATCAAAGAAAGAAGTTATAGAGGATTTAATTAAAGCATTTTCATTTGCAAATATACCTCTCAAAAAAAGAAATAGCTTATTTCAATTTTTAAAAAACACCTTAAAGAAGGTGGTGCAATTCCTCAAGCTTCTACACTTTGACAAATTTATTTGCCCAACATTTTTAATACATATTTTTCTTTACTTAAAAATCTCTTTAATCAAAAATCTATAGCCATAATAATGGATGAAACTACAGATAATTGTTCATGTAGTGTTGTAAACACCTTTTTTAACTTTCACCAAGATATAAAATTAATATTTGTTAATTTTTTAAATATAATTAATAATTCAACAGTGGATTTGAGCCCTATAGCTTAGTGGTTAAGCTGCCAAACCCCTACAGACTAGGTTGACAGTTCAAGTCAGGCTGGAGGCAAAATCTTTGGATTTTAGTTTCTATAACCCAAAAGGGAGCTGTTATTGAATGCAGAGCTCTGTGATAAGTCCAAGTGAAGTACAAGACCAGAATAAGAAATTTTCAGAAGGAGATCTAATCATGAAGTGAGGCACTATGGCATGACAGCACGTCACAGAAGGTTCTATTATACAAGGTTGCTTGAATAAGTTCTCCAGATGGGGTGATCTGGAGGCTACACCAACATCTCTATACGCTAAGTGTTGGGTACTTGCTTGGAAGAGTAATACAGGTAATAAAATTGGAGTAGTGAGAAAAGTGATAAACACGAGGACAATCTGTGGTAAAGGATTGGTCTAACTGAAATTGGAACACCTCTGGCCGAATACAAGACCTATAAATAGAAAAGAAAGTATAATGACGTATATTATTAACATTAATGATAGGTGTCATACTTGTGCGCTATAAGTCAAGGTTCCAGAGTTTCCTTGTAGTACCAATCTGGTAGTGGCTGTGGCAGAAGATATTACCACCTTTGGAAGTATATTAAGTAAGTAGTACACTGCAAAATAACAACTGAATATTCGATAAATCTGGCTGTACTGATCAGTACCAATATATGAAGGGCTATGTACACCAACTTGGAAGCTCCAAAAGAAGCAAAAAACCTCTAGCAGACACCAAGCTAGGAGAATAAAAAGTTGCTGCAGGAAGTAGAAGGCAGTCATTATATAATTAGAAAATATAGTAGATCTTGTATAGAATAGAAGGGTCATATTCCATCCCAGAATTGGTAGATAGAGTTATCAATTAGTTCTAAATAGGGAAATTTATAATTAAATTGCTAGGGTGAATATTATTAGAAATAATGTAGCACAACTCATGTACTATATACTAATGTAATTCCTTAATTGAAATTAATAAAGTTATAGCGCTATAGCGATTTAAAAAAAAAATAATAATAATAATTCAACAGTTGTGGGGTTTTATTAACCTAATTAGTTAGATATAATATACACTTTACCCAAATTATTCATTACTAATTCTGCAGCATATATGAAAAGTGCTATCGCGAAGTTTTAAAACCTGTTATTTCATACACCTTGTTGTATACATATTATTAATCTTATTGGGTATTTTTTTTTATTTATTATTTTTTTTTTGGTTGATTTTAATGCTCACTAAAAGTGAAATTCACCAGGTACATTACTTCTCAAAAATGGATTTGATAATCGTTATTTGGTATACTAAGCAAAAATGTTTAGCATCCCAGAAAACCTTAATTTACCCAAAATGGTACCAAAACTACCAGCATCAAGAATTTTTACAGAAATAACCATAAATTTTTTTGTAACACTAAAATTTTTACTGGCTACAATTCTAGCAATATTAGTTTTATATCTATTGTCGTAATTTTTACTTCAATTTAAGCCTTAAACTCTAATCCTAAAGTTTAACTTAAGTTTTAAAATTCAGGATAAATTTCTATAGATCATATAATAGGAATTAAAAACAATATCATGGTAAATTTTACCTCCAGCAAATACTAAATAAATTCTTTTTTTTGATAATTTTAATTTTATAAAATAACAAATATACATCATTTTATATTTTAGTGAAACCTGGTGAATATTTCTAGACTTAAATATTTTAAGAGATCTTTTATCAAAAATTAAAAAACATTTATTAACTCACCTGCACGTAAAGACTGTTACTTAAACTATCTTCGAGTGTATGAAATTAAAAATTCTTGTAAAATTCCATTATCAAATAAAACATGTTGGAATTCATAGTTTAAAATGGTATTATATGCTAAGAATTATATTAAATATTGGCCTTTCTTCTATCTTGAAGAACATAAAAAGAATACAAGTCACGAATCAATTGCTAAAATGAATAAAATTTTACAGATAAGGCCATGCAAACTTAATTAATTGGTTTTCATAATCTGGCCGAATCAAAATTTAAAAATTTGTAAAAAAAATTTTTGTATGTTTTAATAACTAGATGGATATTTTAAAATTTTTTTAAAAACAATTTATAAATTTTTATATATAAAATTTAAAAAAAAAAAGCTGGCTGGCCGGGTCTATTTAAAAGTTTCATGTTATGAAAACCAATATATTAAATTTGTGTGGCCTAAGTATAAAAGAAATATAATTATTTATATTAATTTTATAGCATTTATGCACAAGAATTTATTCACAATTTAGATTTTTTCTAGCAACAAAAATAAGCTAATATTTCTTTATGTTGAAAGATAACTTAAACAACCTTCATCATTTATTAAAGGAAATGATCTTATTTTACAGTTTAACTTTAATTTAGATGAATTTTATAATATTTTTCAATCCGTATTTGTCATTGCATATAATAAATATGCAGTGCATATTCTACAACACCTTTATATTCTTTATTTCATGCTTGTCATATTTTTAATCCTTTATATATTAGAATAGAAAATCAATTAGGTAATATTTCTCATATAGATTTTTATTAATATTTAGTAATTATTGAGCTTAATAATCCATTACATGAACTTTTATAAGAATGTGTGATTTATTGTGGATCTGTAAATGAATTAGTTGAAGAAATTAATCTTCATAATTATTGAATAGAAATGCATGCAACTTTACTGATTTTATTAAATATTGCACAAAATTACATATAGCTTTCTGTTTCTAGCTGTAGTGTAGAACACAGCTTTTCTATATATAATAATCTTTTAAATAGTGATCATTAGAATTTTTCACTTGATTCTTTAAAGCAATTAAGATGTTATATTTTAACAGTAATTAATTTCTTAGGTTTTTAAATAAATAAATTATATTTACATGATATATTTTTTAGTATATGAAATCACATAATTAGTACTAAACTAACACAGAATTGCACAAAAATTAACATTTTTATCACACTTTTTATAGAATATATTGTCGCGGCTGATGCTGAAATTGGCTGATGCTGAAATTTGTACCTATTTTGATATGAAATTTTAAACAAATTTTGTGGTGTTTTTTTACCGCTTTGTTTTTATAGTTAGGTTAAGATTTAGGGTTAGAATTTATAATTAAAGAGTATATGTGGATTCTAGCAGAGCCTATATTTTAAAATTGGAATCCCAAATTTTTGCATCAGCCAATTTCAGCATAAACCGCGACATATATTAAAAATACATCACATCACATCACAGAATTTTAATTAACTACTCGCAGAATTTAGTTTTATTCACTGCAAAAAATCATTATCCCTACCTAGATGTGCCTTCCAAAATCGTTAAATATTCATAATCAGTTTCTGCTTTATTATATTAATAGATAGAGCTGACTAACATCTCTAGATCCAGACACATCTTTTATAAGTGTCATGTATTTATAATCAATTTCTACATTATTAAATCTAGGCACATCCTTTAAATTGTCAGATACTTATAATCAGTTATTGCTAATATAGTGAGCATAGCCACTAATTCTCTTTTATGATTAACCTATCTCTTAAATTCTCTTTCAACAACAGGATTGTTAATTCCATTATAAACAGTATAAATAGCTATATAGAAGTTTATGAATAGTGAAACACTAAAAAAGAACACACTTTATGTATTTGTTGAATTAAAATAAGGTGTCAATAAATTAAACACCAGTTTAATTATATTTGATAAGAAATAACTTGGTAGGTTAGCTTCTGTATAGTAAACAATAAAGAGAATTGAAAGAATAAAATTAGGAATAATTAATCTTTGCTTTAATATTTGCAGAACTAATTGCATTAAATTTTTTTAATTTTAACTTTTATAGTAAAATAAAAATTTTATAAATATTTATCATGAAAAGTTATTAAAAAAGCATTTATAAAAAGAAATTTATCTTGTGACTCAATATACAAGATAATAAACAGAATATTATAGAACACACAATCCTGATGATTACAGTACTTGACAAAAGTTTCTTCGCACCCATAGATCTCTCAAAATCATATGCAGTATTTCTAAACTTTCTGTGAACAAAGAAGACCTTGAATGTAGGTCCTTGCATATTCTACAGGTCAATAGATTCTTTTAATAAATATCTACTATATAAATATTATATGATCTCAAATATATTATTATTGGATAAATTCTTTTTTAAGCTTTATATAAAATTTTCTCAACAATAACATAATAAATTTCGATGATTAAGACTTTTTTTGAATTCTACAGTTTCATAGAATTTAAAAAAGCCTCTAATTATCAAAATTGATTACTTCATTGCTGAGATATTATTATTAGAAGTTTGTTAAAAAATTAAGTAAAATTTAACCTTTAACAAATTTTTAACAATAATATCATAGCAACAAAATAATTAATTTTGACAGTTAAGGCTATTTTGAATTTTACAAAACTGTAGAATTCAAATGAGATCTTAATTATCAAAATTGATTATATCATTGTAAAGTTATATATGTTTATATTTTTAAAAAAAATTTAACTGGTACTATCCAAAATTTGATGATCATCAGTGCTTTGAATAAAAATATCTCAACAATGAAATAGTCAATTTCGATGTTTAAGAACTCTTTTGAATTCTATGAGCATGTAAAATTCAAAAAATTCTCAAATTTTGAAATTGATCATTTTGTTATTGAGATAGACCCATTCAAAATATTTGTGTAATTTTTGTATTCTTTAAGCATATAAAAATTTATAATTATGTAAAACATAATACAAAAGGCTTATTATTTGTAAAACATATAGATGATTATATTC